AAATCGTGTTTTCGTTGAAGAAAATGCATTTAAAATGCAGCTGGGTACTGAAAACTGGTATTATTTTTTGTTTGTAGGTTAGGTTAGGTCAGCAACAAGCTTTTTCAATTGAAAAAGTGGAATCGGCAAGTATTTTTCTTGCATTTTGGCGGTTAAATCAGCCCCATTTTATGCTTCTGCACAACATATAATTTAAATATTCAAGTTTCTATTAGAAGAGGAAAAACCTGCACATATTTGTGACCATCACATCGAAACAAGGATTAAGTCTAAAAGTGGTGCATAGAGAAACAGGCAAATATAGTGTTTTAATATAAACATTTCCAAAAAATTGTATTTCGTCAAAATATAACAAATATGTTTCATTTGAATGAACTGTATGAAATATAATCATAATTTTTAAGCACTTTTTTGAACAGTAATACTATTTGAATTTTCTTCTTCATAAGGAAATGAAAAATTCCTCAAAAAATTACAGAAAATTAGGATCCAGATCAAATATTAATGTGCAATCATAACCAAAAAGACAAAATGAGGCATAACTCTGGTTCCATTTATATCAAAATGATCCAAGTATCAAAATGTAGCTTTTAAAGCCAGGAATCTGAAAATGTAATGAGGTAATTTTGACCAAATTTGACTTAATCTTCATTTTGATATGATAAAAGTATATTTGAGTCAGCTCCAGGTGTACGCAAACTAAACTTAAAAGAGTTTGAAACATGTTCCAAACACGTTCAAAATGTCTGAGACAAGAGAGCAAGGCGGAGGAATGAAGTAGAGGAGTTGGATGTCTTGTTCACCAGTGATGGTAGGAGGGAGCGGGAGATGGATCGACGGATTKGGGCTTCAGTAATGAGGGCGTTGCTTTGGTCGGTCGTGGTGAAGAAAGAGCTGAGTCAAAAGGCTGTCTACGTTCCAACTTCCATGATCATGCGGCGCGGAGTTTTCTTCGTAGGGTGGGCCGGGCTCAGCCTTTGAGAYAGGGGGAGGAGCTCAGAGAGGCACTGCTCCTCTGCATCAAAAGGAGTCAGTTGAGGTGGTTCATCTGATTAGAATGCCTCCTGGACTCCTTCCTTTAGAGGTGTTCCACACATCCCACTAGTAGGAGACCCCAGGGAAGACTCAGGACTCACTGGAGGGATTATGTATCCTCTCTGGCCTGGGAACGCCTCGGGCTCCCCTAGAACAAGCTGGAAAGTGTTGCTGGGGAGAGGGAGGTCTGGGTTTCTCTCCTGGACCTGTTGCCTCTGCAACCCGACTACGGATAAGCAGAAGCTGGAGATGGAAGAGAGCGAGAAACTTGGAAATCTTCGTGAACGTTTGGATACATTTTGGAAAAGTTCATACGTATGTTAGATATATAGGTTTAAAGTCCAGATTTACACTGTATACGTGTCCAAAAGCACMGCTGAAGTTACAAATCTATCCGTATCTGAGTGAAGAACCCCTCCACCAAATTAAACCTTCATTTGGCCTGCAGTGTGCAGAAAGATGTTGTGTCTCCATTGTGACACCCGAATACAAAACAAGAAGAATCAGCCGAAGAGAAAAGGAGTTTCTAACTTCCAATTTCACCGCTGCTTCTCCTCCCAGAAAGAAAAAACGATGAAAAGATGAAATTAAATGTGTGTGTATATGTTATCATGTCTGCTATCGCCTTGTGAAAATTGCAGGTAGCTGAGTGTTTAACATTCTCTTGTCAAGCGTCCTCCTGCTGGGACAATAAATGCCTGTCCAGTTTTGCTCACAGCGGCGGCTGCAGATTACAAACAGCGGGAGCACGCCGCAGTCTGAACACAAAACCGATAAGGACGCCCGTCTTAGCGCTGGCTTCTCCGCGCGCCAGCAACCCGCTGCTTTCTAATATTTACACACAACTAGAGAGGCAAATGTAGCGTAACTTCACCCACACACCACCCCCACACCTGGAACCTGGGCACACACTTCTCTGTGTTGTCTGGACCAAAAAAGTGGGGGAAACTGTGTGTGTGTGTAGAGTCGGGTGGGGTTAAATTACACCACAAACAGTGAAATTTCATTGCATCTTTTCATCCAGGAGTTTGAGAAGAGTTAGGTGTGACTGATTGCAACTGTTGGAAAGTTTTTCATTGCGCTGTTTGGGTTGGAAGGCGTGTGTGTGTGTGTGTGTGTGTGTGTGTGTGTRGAGGAGGGTGAAATGCAGATTTCTTCTCGAAGCTGTGACAATTGAAGAGACAGAGATGGCAGGAGGCCACTGACACAGCACATTATTCACATGTGCCAGACAAAGAGCTGCAACGCGATTGACATTAGAGCCAAAATGAAACGAAAAATGACTTCTTTAAAAATACTTTTTTCAGATCTGATTCCGGGGCCATGACAGGCGCCGAAAAGTCAGGAATACGCAGCTGCTTCGCTCTCTACAGGATCTCTAACACCCCGAACAACATTGGACCATTTAGTGCTTTATGGCGTCGGTTTGGTTTTAGAGCAGATTACCGCTTTAAAAACTGCCTTCAACAAAAAAGTGTTTTGTTTTTGTTTTCGTAGTTTGGCTATTTTCTGGCAGAAAGAACAGAATACTTAAATGACATCATTATCTGAAGTGTGCATTACTTGTAATGTCCTCAGGGTACTGAATGAATCTTTTTTATAGGTTTGGTCAAATTTAACTTGTTTTTTTTTTTTTTTTTAGATTTTTCTTAGGCAAGAGATTTTCTTCTGAGGCTGTTTTTTCTGTAGATTTCCTGCCGTGTACCCACTTTTGGTCTAATTTCAGCTGTTGGACAGACGGACTCACACTTGACTCTAGCATCAGTCAGAGTTCATGGTCCACTCAGTGACTGCGAATAGCCCAAACCATCGGTGTACGGACAAAAGCTCACAATTTTTTTTATATTTTAAAAACAGCAAATGTATGATGCTTATACACTCACCGGCCACTTTATTAGGTACACCTGTCCAACTGCTCGTTAACACTTAATTTCTAATCAGCCAATCACATGGCGGAAACTCAGTGCATTTAGGCATGTAGACATGGTCAAGACAATCTCCTGCAGTTCAAACCGAGCATCAGTATGGGGAAGAAAGGTGATTTGAGTGCCTGCCATAAGGGCTGGTCTGAGTATTTCAGAAACTGCTGATCTACTGGGATTTTCACGCACAACCATCTCTAGGG